CTTGGAGACCGTCCGGGCCTTCCCGCGACCCTGGCACCATGCGCCCCGCCGCGCCTCCTCGCGGGCCCCGGGCTCCCCCTCTCCGCCCGCTGAGTCCCCGCGCTCGCCACCCCCGGAAACTCGCCGAGACGAGGCGAGACGCTGGAGAGCAGCGCGGAGACTGACCCAGACGTCCCCTCCGCCCCCAAGAGGCTGCGGATCCCCGTTTCTTGGGCTTCTCTAGCTTTACCATGGACCTGGCGCCAGCTTGGCTTTAGGACACATTCGGAAGCCGGAGGGGGAGTCCAGGCAATTCTTTGGTTGCTAAGGTAATGGTAGTTGTGACCAAAAATGGGGGAGAAACAAGTGGGGGGAAAGGTGTCTTAAAACGGCGTGCCCCGACTCCCACCCCCCAATCCCTATGGGTTGATGTCATTTCATCGCCTGGGTGTGGATGCTGGTCCGTTTCAGATGCGTGACAAGTGTCGGGGTGTGCGCGCGTGCAGTTTGGGACCGTAGAGGCACGAGCTTACGTAAGTGGCGAGGCGAGCTGGCGTGCGGACTTGTGTGGGATGGGTGCAGGTCTGCACGGAAGGCATGCTCCGGGCTTGGGGTGTGAAGCGCGCACCCACTGGGACCAGTGTGCAGACGGTAGGTGCGTCCGGGACTCCCAGCCTCCGACGATGTGGTGGCGGCAGTTAGGGCAGCTTTACTTCACAAGCAGACCGTCGTGAACTTTCCCTCCGAATCAGCTGGCCCGTTTGTGGTTTGGAGGAAAAGCCAGCGAGTGGTAGGGGTGGGTGTCGGGGTCCGGTTTTGGGAACCGCAGCAGAAAGGGAACCCAGGTGTTGTCTCTTGAGAGGATGACGACTAAGCTGGTCGCCTGAAGAGACCCTGTATTTACAGTCACTGTCAGGCTCGGAGCAAGTGGCCCAGAGAGACAGGGAAAGTGACCCAGAAAATTTAATTTTGTTCAGAAGGAAAAGCTGCTGTATTTTTTTTTTTAATGTGGTGGAGTAGGGAGGAATATTACTTCCTTCTCTCTTGTTGAGAGGAGTGGCATTTCCACGCTACAAACTGAAGATATTTTGGATCTTATTGTTGGCTTGGAATTGTTCCCTGGGTGTTTATCAGTGCTTAGGCACTACATCTGCAGGGAGTTTCTTCAATATCTTTTAGCAGCCCCAGAGTAAAACTGCCCAAATAAGCAGAATTAGGTAAAGCCTAACCTTGCACCCTTTTCTCACCAGAGGGGGATGACAGGTGGAAGAATAAGAACTGGGCTTGTACGTGTCCAAATGGAGTTAGAGGCTGAGCTACAAGTGTGTGTGTGTGTGTGTGTGTGTGTGTGTGTGTGTGCGCGCGCGAGCGCTTTGTCCAAAGTGGTAGACAGAAAGGAAACTGTTAAGGTTTACCTTAATATGTGAAGGCTTTTACAGATCCATGTTCAGAGGCAGATGGGGAATTATGTGGAGGGAGCACTGGGGAGTTGGTGAGAAACTTTCTGTGACTTTTTGTGTGTTCTTTATGCTACGTGTTCTTCTTATTAATTGATTAATTTTGCAATGGATAGGAGTACCCTGTGAAACAAAGCAAGTTGAGGACTGAGGGGAATTTGAGAGGTACTCTTTGGAGATACACCTTTATAAGCAAAAGCTTCATGCTGAACTGAGAAAACCAAGATGATAGATTCTTTCTGAGTTCTCTGATATTATTGTCAAGCTAAATTGTTGTGTAAGTATGGTGATTTTATGTACTATAAACATTGGGGATATATATATATATATATATCCCTCACCCCAATAACTTGTCCTTTCCTGAAAGTGTCTGTAAATTCTAGAAATATCCACTACTGCAAGGTATTTTGATGACATAGGTAGCCACTGGTGCTTCCTTTTTCATACTCATTACATTGGTTCTTACCTTTATTTCCCTGTCTCCTTTAAAAAAGTTAAATTAATACTCACTGATATATTGCTGAGAGCTTCAGTAAAACAATGCTAGTTTTTCTTCAAGCGAAAAATTTTTTTCTTATCAAGTGAAACATTACATCATTTCTGCTTTTATGGCAGAAAGGTCTCTTTAAATGAGACATTTATTTATTTGTGAATGATTTTGTGGAAGAAGATAGCCAATATAGATATTTTTTAAAATGAGCAAACATTTCTTGTGAAAGAAAAACAATGTTTAATTGAAGCACAATTGACACTCAGTTTTATATTGGTTTCAGGTATAGAGCGTCATGGTCCAACATTTGTATGCACTGTGCTAGGATCAATAAGTCTCTAAAACAGTGGTTCTCAACCTTGGCTGCACATTAGAATCACCTGGGAATCTTTTTAAAATCCTGATTTCTGGGCCTGGGATCAGGATTTTAAAAAGATTCCCAGGTGATTCTAACGTGCAGCCAAGGTTGAGAACCACTGCTCTAAAAGGACATTTAGGACAATATAATTTTGCCAGTAATTTTGGATGTCTGATTGACCACGGGGACAGAATTTTATGTGAAAATAGGATCACTCTGTTTCTTATTTCTCTGATGTTCTCCCAGGCATTTTATCTCTCCAACTCTTTCGACTTTGCCAGGAATTGCTGAACATTCTGTTTTGTGCCAGGGGTTAAACATCAGGGAGATATGAGTAAGGAGCTCTGTGTCACATCAACATTTTTCAAAAGAGATGCTCTCAGAGATGTCAGTGCTGGGATTAATTTTCCTTTAGCCTCACAAGTTAGCTCATCTTAATTCGGAATGCTTTGAACCCAGGAAAGCATTTAACCTCTTCATTTTCAGTGCCAGCTGGAAGGAATATATTTACCAAATTCCATCTTTATTGTAACATATGGCATGATATAAATAATTACTACACACACACTGTCCTGCTGTATGGAGAGAAATAGGATTACAAAATAAACCTTCATGTTGAGTGACCTGCATGTAACATTTCAAGAAACAGTTTTACTTTTTAAAAAATTATTATTACAAAAGTAATATCTAACCACTGGGGAAAAATTGGGAAACTACAAAGAAAGAAAGGACATCTGTAGTTCTCCCACAGAAGGTGAACCATTGCATACAACTGTATATATTTTTCCAGGCTTTATTCTGATCACATTATTCATTGAATTTTTTTACCCCTGCCTGCCCACCCCCTCCAAATTTCAGATCTTGTAAATGAAACTTGGATATGTGTTAAAGTTTTGGAAAATTATTGCTAGTTTCCTGGATGGTTTTGATAGATTGGGCTTTAACTTTTGTTAGTGGTCCTTATTTTTAAAGACAATAGTTTCTCTGCTTATGTGTTTTCTTTGAAAAGCAAGATTTGCACTTTGGATCAGTAATACTTGGGGCTCCCTATAAGACTTAGGGATGAAAGCATCAGAAAAGAAATAGAACATTGGCCATGTTGGGTGGGAGACTTTAGTTCTGGTTTCAATCTCTCCACCCACTCCTCATGTGACCTTTGGCCTCTGGACCTGTTTCCTCCACAGACAAATGACACTTTTAGATTTAGCTCAAGAAGCTAACAATATATTTGTTGTTTTCACATTTGATAAGGATCATCTTTGTCTGAAGTGGGCTTTTTAAACACAGATGGCTGGGGGTCATCCCGGGGTTTCTGACTCAGTTGGTCTGGAGCAGCGATTCTCAACCTGTGGGTTGTGACCCCTTTGGCGGTCGAACGACCCTTTCACAGGAGTCGCCTAAGACCATCCTGCATATCAGATATTTACATTACGATTCATAACAGTAGCAACATTACAGTTATGAAGTAGCAACGAAAATAATTTTATGGTTGGGTCACAACATGAGGAACTGTATTTAAAGGGCCAGAAGGTTGAGAACCACTGGTCTGGAGAGTCCCCAGGTGATGTTGACCCTGCTGGTCTGGGGACCACACGGAGAACTAGGTAGTAAGCTCTTGGGGGCAGAAGCACTGTTTTACTTTTCGTTGCATCCACCCGTTCCATGCCAGCAATGTACCTGCCAGTAGGGGCTCAGTAAGCATTGGTTGAATCGATATCAGTTTCTCCATGGGGGAAAAGCTTTCTGAAGTAGTCAAGAGAAAAAAGACCATCATCCAGAATATGAAACTATTAAGTCTGTAATGAGAGTAATAATCAGTCATGAAATGAAGTTCTTCAAACTACAAGAAAAGCAAAAATGCCCACAAGTAGGCAGTTAAAATGCACATTAAACCTAATGAGTTACATTAAATAACAACTCAGAGTACCTGCTTGAGATGTTACAAACCATGAAGCTTATCAAATGCTTCACTGTTGCCTCCCAGAGGCAATTCATTTTCTGCCACATCTACATTCCAGTACAGGAGGGAGGAGGAAATTCACTATTAATTACCCTAACTACCAAAGCAGCAGCTAAAGAAAGCAATAGTCCAGACAGCACCCCAACATTCTCATTCTCTCTCTCTCTCTCTCTCTCTCTCTCTCTCTCTCTCGGTAGAGCAATGCTCACTGGAGCCCACAAACATTCTATGAGATAGGTTACTGAGGAAACTAAGAGAGGGCATTGAGGGGGTGCATTTGATGACTAGGAGAGTCTAGCGGGCTGAAATACCCCTCTTTTGGTCAACCATCTGTGGCTACTTTGTGTCTAGAAAACAAATCCTTCCTTTCTACTTACATGTTAGAAACATAAGCTACAGCCCTTTTTATGTATGGCAACTTTAAAAAGATGTGTAAATATTTGAATATGAGCAAAGTAGCTGCTTATGTAACTGAGGCTGCTCAAGTGAGTTGTGGTGGAGACTAGCTGTCTTGGCTTTTCTAAATACTTAGGTAAAGCCATCAAAGGAAAAGCCATCTTTAGTTTTTGCAGAGTAGAGTTCCCACTAGTGTCATGCTATTTTCTTGCCCAGGGGGAAGTGCACATTAAACAAAGGCTTCTGAGATGAGTATCCTATGTGAGATGAACTAGTGGTGACACCCCTCGGAAGTAGCTGAGGCATGTGTATTGCACTGAGACCTGGCCAGCCCCAGGCCCTGACAGAGAACTGTGATCATTGGCTCTTCAGTAGCACAACAGGCACAACCCTGTTAATTGTGTTTTTTGAACCTCAATTTCCTCATCTGTAAAATGGGAATAAAAAACAAACTATCCCTTCAGTGTGTATGGCTGTGAGGAGCAAATAGGATCCTGTATAGTGTACAGGGCAGAGGGGGCATAGTAACTTGAGGAGATGGACCATGTCATACCATACTATTTGCTAATAATATTGAGAATCAGTTGTTGATTTGAAACCTCAGGAATTCCCTGGGTAAAATCTGAAACCAGCTTCCATACATGGTGTGCAAAGAAAGACACAGACCA